TCATCCTCATCAGGCTTCTAATTGACTGATAGCCATTATTTTCTTTTCAATAATTTTAAATGATATTTTCATGACTAATTTCCATTTTTCAATATTTAATAAAACCCGACCCGACCCGAAAACCCGCGAGTTTCTTTAAAACCCGACCCAAAAATTCGGGTTTTTTTAAATACGGGTTTTGGAGAACCCTAAATTAATTTAAGGCTTCGGTCAGCACCTATTTTTCTGTTCCGGAACAGGAAACGCACCTTGAACGGGACCATGAACTTGTTCCGGAACAGGAAACGGACCTTAAACGGATCTCGGAACACGGACCGAAGCTCCGCTAAATTTTATGAGACATTTTATAAAATTTCAAATAGATATTTAACAACTCATCGATCTCGAGTTATGGGATTGATTGCATTACTATTTGAAACAATAAGTGCGTACTTTACATTGAAATGATTAACCGAAGTTTATCATGAAAAGGATAGCAACTTAACCTTACAAGTTAGCATTACTTACCGAAATTCTTTTTCCATGACTACAATTCCAATAACCCATTTGATCAGTTGATGTCCCTGACGCGTCCTTGAAAGATTGTGATCTTGTAAATTTTTTTCCAAAAATTTCCTTCAGCTTTTTGGAAAAAAACTCCGTGTACCACATCTTCAGGAGTTAGAGAAGGAACACGAGGTGAAATTAAGACGTTTATGAAAATAATCCTTATTTTGCTATTCATTATTAAAGCTTTATGCTCTTAACAAAAATATTATTGAATAGCAAAGGTTATTGTTAAAAAACCATTATGACTTTTGCTAAAAAGATTATTTTCACTGGAAAGCGAAACTTACCTTTCCTTCAAACTGTTTTTTTGAGGAACAAAGGACCCATTCACTCGTTCCGCTTTCATTTGTTATTCTCTTCATAAACGCTATCATTTCTTTATACGTTAGACAAACATCGATCCTTCGACCACGAGCCATTGTTGAATCTTTCGTTTTAAATGCAAGGTGTCCCACTTCAATATTTCTTAATCTCAATATAATATCTGGAGCTATTTGTGCTTGAGGACCTCGTGGAAATTAAATAAATATTTAAATATTTCCACCAAACCACAACTGACAACAAGAAAGCACTAGATAATAACTAATTAACTACAATAACTAATTAACTACAATAACTATTTAACAATATTCTGACTTGTTCACAACAGAGATGGGCAAATGTTCCGTTCAACTCGATTGACTGACTGACTGACATGTCAATGTCTTTCAGTCAGTCAGTCAGTCAGTCAGTCAAAATCGCGAACAAAAATATTCGCTTGTTGGGACACGTTCATATAAATGTTCCGCTCAAGTCGTTTGACTGACTGAGTGACAAGTCAATGTCTGTCAGTCAGTCAGTCAAATCCCAACTCTGGTTCACAATGACGATCAAATAATAATTCTTGTAGGAGAGTTAATAAGTTAATAACTTCTCATGAAAATTTTGCAATGTTCGAGAAATTGAATATAAAAAAATTAAAATCCTGCATTCAAGCAATACATAGTCGACAAATTGCAGAAAAAAATCCCTCGTTTTGACCCACGCAAGATAGTGAGTGGTTAGAATCACACAGAGATGGGTAAACGGGGAATTTTCTCATTTCCCCCGTCCATTCCCCTGGGGGAAATCAAAATTGAGATTCCATTTTTATGTTAAAATTTAAATATTTCCAAGAAATTTTTTAATTTTATATACAATTAACTATCTATTTGTTCTTTGAGAGATTGATGTTACGTCTGATGTAGAATTTTAATTTGATATTTTTAAATCGGCTTTACAGACAAAATGATTTTTCTTGATCTTTATCTTTTCATTTTTAATTATATTGTAGAGATTCTTGATGATGATAATTTTCCCCGGGGTTTTCCCCAAGGGGATTCCCGGGGGAACTTTTTTCGAATCCCCTTTACTCATGTCATTATTAATCAATCATTAATCAAAAGTCACAAGAAACTTTTTAAGCATCGCAAAACCCCGGTTATTGCTTCATTTCCTTATGATTCTTCGACGATGGAAAAAAAATGTAAAAACCCGACCCGAAACCCGCGGGTTTTTTTAAATACGGGTTTTGGAAAACTCTAATTTGAAATAATCGGAATTTTTTTTTATTAGATTGTGTCTTTCAATCAAGCTCACCGTAGAAAAATTATGAAAAAAAGAATTTTATGCTAATAAAGAGAATATTTTACACATATCTAATTTATTGTTCATTCTTTTAGTTTTTAACGGTTTCTTTTACGCAAAGTGAAAATCAAAATAAATTCGAAAGAGCTCGAAATAATATTTTCGAAATAAAAACTTTAAACATTGCGTTGAAAGAAGAAGAGAGTGATACAAAATAATTAACAAGTTTTCTAGTGCTCCAATACATAAAATAAAATAAAAAAAAAATAAAAACGAAGTCAAAACTCTTGAAAGCAATGCAGAATCTGATAGATTCAGATTTTAAGCGCTTTGTATCGGTTCAAGTTTTAGGTATCTAACAAGAAATTTACAAATAAATTTTCACATCTGCTAATCATTTACATATTTCTAGCATATTTGAAAGACAAACAGCTTCAAAACACATACAAGTGTTTCATTGAAGAAAGCAGACATCTTGTTAAGGAAAAAAATGATGTGGAATACCACGATAAATCGATAGATTCATCAATTGGACTCGTCAATATAGTTAGAGGATATCTCGTATTTGAATCACAAATTTGATTTTCTGCGATAGTCGGAAGATCCATGGACAGTCGGAAGGTCTATGGAAAGTCGGAAGATCCATCGAGTAGCGAGGGCCATTGAGTAGCGAGGTCCATCGAGTAGCAAGGCCATTAAGTAGCAAAGTCCATCGAGTAGTAGATCTACTGACTGTCAATGAGATCTACCGACTGTCCATGAGATCTACCGACTGTCTATGAGATCTGCAGACTGTCCATGAGATCTACCGACTGTCCATGAGATCTACCGGCTTTCCATGGGATCTACCGACTGTCCATGAGATAAACCGGCTGTCCATGGATCTACCGGCTGTCCATGTGTCCATGGAAGGTCCATGGACAGTCGGAAGGTCCATGGACAGTCGGAAGGTCCATGGACAATCGGAAGGGCCATGGACAGTCGGAAGGTCCATGGACAGTCGGAGGGTCCATGGACAGTCGGAAGGTCCATGGACAGTCGGAAGGTCCATGGACAGTCGGAAGGTCCATGGACAGTCGGAAGGTCCATGGACAGTCGGAAGCTCCATGGACAGTCGGAAGGTCCATGGACAGTCGGTGTTTGTCGTTTCGTTGATAATTGTTGTGACGTGATCAGAAAAGAAAATGCTGTTTTGAATAATTCTATAACTCAAATTAATTAAATTCTTTTTCATTTATTTTTAGCGATGCCTATGAAGACATCCTGCCAAATGAAGAGACAGCAAACAACAGAGCAAAGTACTGGGAAGAGCAAAGTACTGTGGAATTGAGAGATATAAAGACGATGATGAAAGCACCGGCATGGACATGGATGAAATGCTGAAGTTTGCAGATGAATTTGATGGTGATAAGTTCTCGAATGAAAAGGAAGATGATGAAAACAAAGGAATGGACATGGATGAAAAACTGAAGTCGGATGATGAAAGCGATGAATATTCTACTAGTGCAAAAGAAAATGCTGCTGAAGAAAAGGAAGCTGCTGCTCCTGAAGAAAGTTTAATAAAATATTACGGTCAAGAATTTCTTCAAGGTCTGAAGAAAAGTTACGATAAGAAAATTGAAAAACTTGGAGAACTTAATCTACCATTCTGGCAAGTAACTACAGATAAGTAAGTGATAATATTAAAAGTATGCAAATTTGTTAATTTTTATTAATTTGTTTTTATTTTTAGTGTCAGTATGCTTGAGCACGAAAACGAGGAAGTGGTTAAAACAAAAGATTCGCTCACTTTAACCAAAAATCGCACTCGAGCTACAAATGTCTCAAAAACTAATATTGCTTTGGCTCCAATGTTTCAAAATCTTCTGCAATCTAATCCAAATCAATTTTTAACTTCAACGTCATTGAACGGAATGTCATTTTCGGGAACGGGAGAAAATTCAATTCTTTCACAACTCCAGCAAGTGCTCGGAAATAGAAAATTTACGATGAAGGTTCAAGATAGACCTTATCCTCGGGAAATTTTAGGGGGGAAATTTCCTGATTTCCCGGTCATTTTCCTATTTCCTATTTTCCTATTTTAGGCATAGGAAAAAATAGGAAAATAGGAAAAAATTTGCAACGAAAAACATAAGATTTTGAGCCGTTTTTCGTTCTTTAACATTAAAATATTTTGAATTTTAGGATAGACCGTCATAAATTGTTTTAGCCGGTGTGGAAAGAACAAATGAACTTCAAGAGCGTGAATATAATATTGAAGTTAATGATTTGAGTACAAACAATCCTCAATCAGAAAGCAGCTTAAAAGCCATTACTTCGAACGTAGAGCCTCAGTCAAAGGATGAAGACTCCAAAACAAATGAAAAAGGAAATCTTGAATTGGATCTACCACCAGTTCCAACCAATACTCCAATATCATCAAAGTCGGTTGGTTCTAATGATGGTGCAGAAGAAATAAAGCGAAAATATCGAAATCCTTTCGCAAAAAAATATTTCAAAAAATCCAATATTAAAAAACAGGATGTTATTACGCCACAACCATTCCATCAAGATCCACCACATCAGACCTTTGTTCCACAACCACATCAACAGTAGCAAGGTGTGCCAATGATTTACACCATGCCTCCAGTACAACAGCCAATTCCTTATGGACAACCCTTAGGTAAGTTATAAATTATTTTTTTCTTCTTTTCTTATTTATAATTTATTTTCTTTTCTTTTCTCAACCAGTTCAATATGTGTATCAACAAGCGCCAGTTCTTCTGTATTCAATGCCACAGACAACTTATGTTACTCAAACAGTTCCAATTATTCAACCATCTGGGCCTATTCAGGATAATTCAGAACCAATTCAAATTGATTCTGATTAATTATGCCCAACATATTGAAGTAACATAAATGTATTTTTTATCTTTAATTTTTTTCATTGTTAATAAATAAATTTGTTTGAATTCATTTGTTTTGTTTTCCTTTCGTACAATATTTTCTGAATAAATATTTATCACGATTATTACTCTTCCAATCTTAAATAAACAAATCATGTAGATATTTTACTTAGATTACATATAGAAATGTGCTGTAATTAATATTCGAAATCTTCCAAATTTCATCTTAAATTTTTCTTATGCATTTCATGGACATTTGCTAGGTATTCGAATTGTGGATGTGAAGGATCCTAAATTTCGAAATAACTTTATTTAGATTTCATATGTTGAAATTTATTAGGATATTTTAAATAGGAAAAATATGTGACATGAAGTATCAAAATGTACAGCAATTAATGAAATTCTCTCACTCACTCACTCACTCACTCACTCACTCACTCACTCACTCACTCACTCACTCACTCACTCACTCACTCACTCACTCACTCACTCACTATCAACCACTCATACCCGTTACTCGTTTAGAATCTAAACTTTAGATATTTTGCCAAGTTAAATGATCTCGAGATTAGATTAAGATTAGATTAAGATCAAGATTAGATTAAAATCAGGATTAATTTGGGGTCAATTTGTATGGCAGGTACCTGAAATATAGAAGGTACAGACCCAATTTTCTCAGAATATTTGTCCCCCGATGAGAAACTCATCTTCCCAAAATATTTTCAAGATCGCTTGAGAAATATGGAAGTTATTACGATTTCAAAAAGTTACATACAGACATACATACACACAGAGTCGAAATGTGACGTCGAAAAAAAAGTTATTTTTTTTCACTTTTCTCGACGTTTCATGATATTTTAAGCATATTTAAGCAATAAAAATTTTTGAAAAATTTTACACGGTTTCAATACGATGGCCCATGTTAATATGGTATGGGGCCGTCGTAAATTATTAATTTAAGATGTTTTTATTTTGATCTGTTATGGAATCTGATGAGCTGTATTTGTTATAAAATATGTTAAGTAAGTAAGAGCAATTTATTCACAGTTTCACATAGGTGCAAATTTTTGAGTAAATCTACATTTAACAAGTGGAAAAAGACTCGTTACAGAACAGATCTTATAAAATCTTTTTTTTGCGTTGAACAACAAAATTGAGGCAGCATACGTAAAAAATAAAATAAATAAATAAAATTTTAACGTCTGTTTTTTGGCTTGGGGACTTCCTTCCCAAAATACTCAAACTCAAAGATGTTAACAACATTAACAAATCAAAGCTTCGACCGATCGTCTCATGTATTGGATCACTGACTTGTTGTTTAGTTCAAAATGATGGAAAAGTTATTCACAGCTGTTGATAACATCAATTGCTTTGTACTAAGTTGAACGATCAAAAGGATAAAAATAAACTACCTAGAAATTAGCAATAATTTTGGGGTGGTAAATACCATCAATTAATTTTTATTGAATCACATCATACATCATATCTAACATTTATCATCAATTCAAATTTATATTTGTGTTACAGTTTGAACTATCTCGGTTCTAACCGATTGCTGCAACTTTTCATTAGATTGCTTCAATGATTCGAGTTGCTGTTCTAGAATTTCAATTCGGCCACATAAACTTTTATTTTCCATAACTAAGGATCCTATGTCGATCGAGCCCTTTCCTTTCAAGGCACTGTTTAATTCTTGGTTCAATTGATGAATTTTGCATTTGAGTGAATCTCTTTCATTCACAATTTCTTCCTTTTCATCAAGTAAAGATCGAAAGTCAAATTGTAAATGTGCGTTTTTCTTCTTTAATCCCTCCAACTGATCAATAAGCTTGGATTTTTCTTCATTCCATGATTTTAGTGTTTCTTCATTTTCGATATTAAATACAATGGCTTTTTTTTTATTAAGCTGTGTGTTGTTATTGTTTTTATTTCTCAGAAGTTTAAGATCACCTTGTAGTTCTTGGAGTTTTTGACGAAGTAATCCGGTTTCCGTTTGCAAAATTATATTTTTCTCCTTGTTTTGAGTAATGAATAATTCGATTGTTGAACTTGTACTTCCATTTGTTAAATCTCTTCCTGAACTTTCTAAACCATTTTTCATTGCACAATATCGTAGTTGAATAGTTTCAGCCATTAGTTTAAATTGATCCCTTTCAGTTCTAAAACACTCCAACTCAGAACGCATGATTTTCAAAGCTTCATTTTTGCTATGAAGTTTTCGATTTAATGCAGCGATCTGGAATTAGAAAATAAATTTAATAATAAATACAGAGAAGCTCGATTTACCCGCCCGCCACAACACCCGCGGAATTTCATACAAAGACGTTCGTATTACAATTTCGTGAATATTTTGAACATCTTCACGTAAATTTTACTTCTAATAACTTCAACTGAGGATATATTTGTATGTATATAATCCTGACATTATTCAAATCTCTTATTTACATAAATTCTTTGCAATTAGATGTAAATACAGACTGTCTTGAGGCTTCCGTGACCGTGTTGTGCTGGTTGGGAATATTCTTATAAAGGCAAGATAGAAATATGTTAATCACATAATCTACACTAACGCCGAATACTTATCTACATATCTTCATATTTGTCATGTTTATTATGAATATTAAAAACGTGAAACATTCAAGATTCTCTTTTTACCTCTTGCTCTAAGTTTTCCATATGATTGTCAATAAATTTAACGTGACTTGAATTTTTATTATAAGACGTTAGTTAAGTTGAGACGCTTGTAAAATTGTATTTCAGCAAACCTTTTAACATTTCTTTTGAAAAAGCTGATATATTTGGTTATCAATTTAAATTGGAAACTTTGAAAAAAATATGCCATGAGGCTCTCTACACATGCGCTATGAGAAATGGAAAGAAATTGGGAAGTAAATGTTTCCATCTATTTTTTATTTCAGGTTTAAAAAGTGGGCAATCTCATTTTATCAAACAAAGCGTGCTGCACTTAGAAAAAAATTAGGTGATCACCTGGCTAGCTATAGACAAAAATAAAGTTTAAATCTTATAGTGGAATCACGTTAAAGTATTGACTCAATAAAGACATAAGTTAGACAAAGTAGTTAATTAGTTTTTACGTTCACTCGCTTTTCATGACAAATTCCATTCACGAATCAACAAGCTCGACAAATGTTAAATTTTCGATAAACGCATGCAGGCAACTTCTAAAAATTAAGTTTCGATGAACTAGATTCTTAACAAACATCATTTGTTTCAAATTTCTGAATATGTTTAAATATTTTTGATGTAAAATGATATTTGTTGTCGTGGCATAAATATTTTATCCTTGTTACAACTTTTATGTTTAAAAAAGTAAATATTTAGATAACTATGCACGAATTAATTAAACAGACAAGATTAATGCAACATTAGAAATCATTGCATCATACAAACATTTCTCCTGATATATTATGGAATGAATAATCTTTATTTTGCTAATCATTCTAAATATCTTTTGTTCTTAAACTTCTTTTGGATAAGGTCCTATGCACCAGCCTTTTTCTCAAAAGCTTTAAAATTACGTTTTGATTGATGCTGATATATTATGAATATGGTGACAATATCTTATTTATAAATCAATGTTAATGTAACATAGATACGATATGACTTTAAATAAAATTCTTGTTCATTCAACTGATATGAATGGAAATTGAATTTTTATATTAAATATTGCTACAAAAGGGTTGCTTTCGTCTACCTGAACAATCAATAAATATCGATTCAGTATTGTTGACTTTCAAGTTTTCATAATCTCATGTTTTCGATGAATTTATTTATCTGGTTTAGAAAATATTTAGCAGCTGGAAAAATTATTAATTGTGTACACAATTCATCAATAAAATATGGCTGAAGATTTATTTTCTAAGGTATCAAACGTGAATTTAATAAATTTGTGTGTGCATAATATCTCAGAAAAGTTTTTATCCATATTGCAGAACAAGATTACAACACTTTTGTTCTTTGAAAATTTTACTCATAAATATTTCAAGAGCAATTAAAATCTTCATGACGATTTTTCAGTGATAATTTTCCTTTTTAGAGAATTTTTGTTTCAAGCTTGATAGCTTGATGAAAATCACTAAATTTAAGCTTCGATGCGCTTCTGTTTTAATCCAAGAAATTATTTCTGAGCAATAAATTTTTGCTCCAGTCATACTTATCTAAACTTTTGGCAATACTGATTCCTATGAACTGAAAAGGATAATAATTGTTTTACTACAATAATCATGCATTATTTAGGGTTCAATCTTGTAAATTAATTCCTTGAATAAATTATTATAAAATTAAATAAACTGAAATTTATTAACTAAATCACGAAGACGTCACAATATGAATGAAGCACTTCATCATTTTACGCGGAATTCCGATTTTGTGTAGAGTTCTCTAAGCACAAATTTTCAATCTAATTGTATTGAAGAAGCACACTTGCCTTAGTCACATGAAATGGTCTGCTTATGGTAAAAAATGCATCAAACATATCTACAATATTTTTCGAAAATATTTCATTTAAAAAATTTTTTTCACATGTTCTTTTTCAATTTTCCAAATTAAGGTCGAATCGAAATTCGATTGGGTTTGCAATTTTAACCTAATTTAAGCATAGCTGCCGGAGGCATATATTGTTGCTATATACGCTATAAATCATATGACTTGTATAAAAAGAAAAGTACGATTTTGGAAAAGTTTCGCTCTCTCTAGTGCTCAGCCTATCTCGAACAAAGCGAAAAAATTTTTTGTTGGCGACAACGTTTGTCACAAAATACATTTAGGACTTCACTTTCTTCCAAACACACAAATATGTTGTCATTTATGAAAAGTTTCTTCAACAACAACAAACCGAAACAAAATAAAATTTTATGTAAATTTTTATTAATACTTTGAAAATATGGAAAATGTTTAAAAAATAAAATAAAAAAATATTAAAAAACCTTCAAATTCTTTAAGTTGCATGCGTTTATTGAATGGAACGTCTGTTGATGTTCAATATAATGAATAAGTTCTTCGACGTAATAAGCAGATACGTAGTTTAATACGCGATTAATTTATGACGATATGTGTATTTGAATTTATTATTAGAAAAATTATGAAGCTTCTCATTTAATAGTGTTATTCACATATTTTTAAGAGTTTTCGCCATATAAAAGGGACATTCTTATGAATAGTCATCCTAATTTGATAAAGAATTTAAATAATTCTTTTCACATGGTTACAGTTCCTTAGATACAATCCTAAAAATAGGAATTTCATTTGTTTTATCAATAAAGTAAGATTTTGTGAAAACTGATCAGTAGTGACTGAGAAAAAATTTAAAAATATTTAATATTATCAAAATTACGTAAGTTTCTTAAATTTAATTTTAAAAATGTTTCAAGAGGAATCAGGCGATGATGGAGAGGAAGTATCTGAAGATGATCTCCTTCAGGTTATTATCAATTGAAGTTCACATATTAAAAAGTTTTTTTTTTCTGCAAACAATCACGAATATTTGAAATGAGTATTGGCGTCTTATTTTAAGTGTAATTAAGCGACAAAAAAATATGAAAATTGTACGATTGTCTGATGTCTAAAGGATAAGATTTCCTTCATTTATTTTACCACTTAGATAGTTTGAAAGAATTCGGCGATTAGATGCAATAAAGTTAAATAACTCTTACATAATAAAAAAAAGTTTACAAAACATCAACTTCTACTTTTCATTAGATTATCATTCCTGATGTCTTCTTCTTGTCTTCAATAAATAAATCCTCTAAATTTAATGGAATCCAAGAATCCACATTATTATGTAGACGAAAATGGGAATTTTCAAAAAATTCCTTTCAATTTACTCTCAAATGATTTATTTGAATATATTTGCTTGACAAGGGAAAGTCAAAAAATAAATATTCAAGTGTTTCTTTCTTTTTTAAGAATTAAGAAGAACCCAAAAAAAAACATTTATCTACTGAGAAATTAAACTCTTAAAGGAAACTTTATTTCTAATTTTAGTTTACAAAAAATCCAGATTTTATCATAAGAAGAAACGAAAATAAATTGTTAAGTGATATTGGAATAATAAAAAGAAAATCATTTTTGTCAGATTAAATATTATTGATTGAAAGCTTTGACTTTCATTAAAGATAAAAAAACGTATAAAATAAAGTTATTATGTATGATAATATTTAATGTTCCCATGATTTGAGCAATGATAAAGATTTGTTTAAATGAAGACACCATTCCTCGCGTTCCTCCTTTGTATCGGCAGCCAAGAGATGTCTGTAAAGAAAGAAAAAAATGTTTCACGTCTGTAATACTTAGTTAAGTAAGGCCATTTATCTTACCTGACAGTTGTATAATTGCCTTTCGGTACAAGAACCATCGTTTCAATGTCAGATGGTTTTCGTTCGCGTCTAGATTCCAACAGAATTGTATGTAAGCGAGCACAGATGGCACGTGGTGCAATATTGACACGCTCCGAAGTTATATTTTTAAGGTCGAGTTTTCCGAGAGAATTTTTATGTTTTTCATCTTCAGGATATTTCCAATAATGTAAAGTGTTGCCACTCAATCGACACCAACGACGATGCCAAGCTCCAAAACCCGAAATATCATCAAACATCGTCAAAAATCCGCAATAATCGACATCAACCGTTATTTTAGAATCGATTTTCAAATAAACATTACCATTCAATGGACTCACACTTGATGCTGTTTCATTTATTACCCACGATTTCTGCTTAATTTCACGAATTGAAAAAATGATGTAACCATATTGAACCAAAGCTGGTTTACGAACGGCATTCGGTCCACCTGGTGATTGAACTGGTGGACGAGTAAGATTTGATTCTTGCAATTTACTTTTGAATCGTTTCTTGTTAGGAGTCTGAATATGATATTTGATATCGTGTGGAAGTATTTCACGTTGCGCTGTCATACCATAAATCTCCAAAGTTATTTTGAAGTCTGCAAATACTTCATTCAACGAAAGTAAATCTGTAAACCTTACACTTTTCAACCCAGGAAGTGTCGGAAGAGTTTTCGTCGCCAACACAAATTCATTATATTTAACCAAACACAACAAATGATGTCCATTGATTTCATCGTTCGCCAAACGACTGATATACGTTGGCTTCAGAGGAATTAAAATTTCTTGAATTGAAAGTGTTCCTTTTTCTTTCGACGAAGAAGTGCAATTTACTCGGTCCATCATACCCTCAACTTTCAATCTCTGCACTTCATTTAGACATGCCAGTCGACGATGAGTTGCAACTAATAAATGGCGTTCTCCTTCAACCGCTTCTGTTGAACCAGAAAACTCAACAGTTGAAGCGCAAAGATTTAATGCTTGAGAAGTTTGTGAAATAATTGTCTGCTGACGCATAACTTCATCCAAAAGCTTTTGAATCTTCATGTCGCATTCTTCATTTGACTTGCTTCTGTAACTCGTGCATGCTTCGTTAGAAACAAATTTCTCTTCTGGTTTGTGAACGATTTTTCTAACTGGCGTGTTTCCAGCACTCGCTGACTGCTGTTTGCGGTAAAAACTGACTGTGTGAACGAGAGTCATTGGGTCATTTTTGTTATCAGGTTGAGAAATTTCCAATCTAGATTTTATTGGAATCTCATCGCATTCCTTAAAACTGACACGTTTTGGATATCTTTCGTATTCGAAGCTATCGGAATAAGCACTGCCTTTATCATCATAATCTTTAGATTCGTTCACATCAAAGGCTTCATTCAAATACATGTCAACATCTCCAGTCGCTTCACTGACATCGGCGGAACTGATTGTAGTGTTTAAATAATCAGATTTCGACAAGTCATTTTTCTTCACTGAATTCAAAATTTCACGACCAAAACTCATATTTATATCTTCCTCATTATCGTCATCGTCTGTGGAGTCATCCGAATAATTGCAATCTTTTTTCTCGTAAGCTTTCTCTGATTCAGAAACTGAAGCTGTTGTGTAATCATCGATTTCCGTATCGGTGTTAGATTCAATATCAGATAAGACAGGATACAAACGTTGTTGATTTGATATTCTCATTCTCTTCTTGTCTTCTGACATCGGAATAATTCCATCATTAGATTTTTCTTCGAGATATTTTCCCTCTGAGCTTTGACGTTTCGCTTCATTTTTCTCATCAAGCATAATTTCGTCATTGTTGGGAATTTCCGTCTTCTGAGGTTTGTTAAATCTGTTAAAAATGCATTTCATGTCTTCTTCGCGTTGCTTTTTAATCCCTTCGCTTATCAGATTTTCTGATATTGTTGTTTCTTTTTCTTGCAAAAGTTTATTTACAGTTGATTTAATATTCGAATTAATCTTCTTACTATCTTTAATACTTTCTTGAGATTGACTTGACGTTGTTGCCTTGCAATCGTACCCAAAATTAAATTTCTTATTCAACTCAGCAGCATTAGATCGGATCGGATTGGCATCAGCTATTCCATATGGAGTAGCGGGTATTGGTGCATGCCCTTTATTTTTCTCAAATATTGCCATTCTTTCTTTCAGTGTCATTTCTGCAGGATCCTTTTGATTCTTCTGGAAAATACTCAAAAATTTCGTGTTTTCCTGGACTTTCATTTTTGAAGGTGGCTTTATGCTCGTTGTCAATAATTTTGAATTCGTCTCTGCTTTCTTGACTTCCGCAGCAATTTTTTCTCTTGAATCTTTCTTTTCCAGTTGTGCACAACTTTTAGAAGATATTGCTGAATTTTCGGATGCACAATCATAAATCAATTTTGGTCCTGATGTTTCTCTCCGAGTAAAGCCCTGAGCTTCTAAAGAATCGATTACTTTTTTATCCCATAATAGATTTGCTGAAGATGGTTTTGAAGCACTAGTTTCACTTTGTAATGAAGGATTTGAAGATAACTTAGCAGCTGAAGATTTTGATTGAATGCGAGTCTCATCCAACTTTGATGGAGTTCCTTGTTTCTTGGCTGGATCCAATACTTGCACAGTTTTAGTAGCATGATGTGAATAATCATCATCCCAGCTATTGATGTTATTTGCTAATGAAGCCAGCTTAGAGAACTTTTTGAAAGATTTCATTGATTTTTCAGTTTCAGTTTTTTCACAGAAATTGTCCTCGTTCCGATGTATGGGTGATGAAATCTCCTCTGCATCTGAATAAAGAGCACCAAGTCGTCTAAGATTTTTTCGAGAATGATCGCGAATTTTAATGGATTCTTTCGTTTGCTCAAAATTTGATAAGGAGTTATTGAGAGTGTCACCACTTTTGATCATTTTTCCGTGATCATCAAACTCACATTCAGCTACTTCAACTTCAACCTATAAAACGGAAAATATTTAAATATTTTATTTCTGTCAAGTTGTCCTTGCGTACCTGAATATTCTGGTTCGACGTAATATTAATTTCAACTGCAACATCAGTGTCATTTTTCATTGTTTTATTTGAAGCGCTCGTGAATTTCATTGGATTTTGATTGATTTTTTCGGCACTTAAGGGCTCTTTGTTAAAGGATTTTTTGATAGATGATTTTGAGTTGCAAGCTTCGACTAACTTTAATGGAGAGTTCATTTTTCGATTTTCTTTATTCATGTTTTGTTCTGGAGAAGCAGTTGATGACTTTGTATCAAAAATTCCCAATGCTTTACTTCGTGCTTGGTTTCTTTCAAGTAACCCCTACATTTTAAGAAATTATAAATATAAAATATAAAGAAAACTAAAAACTGAGCTTACCTTTGTAAAATTATCCATAATAAGAATCGTTTATGAATTTTGAACTTTGTTAGAAAGAATTTGGGTTTAAAAATCGATCTAATAAGCTTTTTTAATATTATTAATTGTCTTCTTAAAGAATTTTATTTTTTTAATGTAGAATTGACGGTTATTTTGAATATTTAGCTTCGTTTGAAAATTCGTTAAATGAGGGGTCACGTACTTTTCTGGATCTTTTTCAAATTTGTGGCACTTAAAAATAACGACCATTCATTAATAAAACGAGAAAATAATTTTTCTTAATAACAAGTAACAGCTCATCTTGAAATAACGCTGCACATTTAATTTGAGAAAAGAATAATTAATATCTTGTATTAACACGAAAAATTCTCGACGTTTAAGTATACAATTCATTTATTTTTAAAGCTTGAAATGAGGTAATATTTATCACCTTCTCATAATGATAAAATGAAATAAGAAAAACCCTTTATTCAAGTTTTTAATATTTTTCATTGTTATTCTTTAGCGTTCCCGATAAAATGCTTGTTTGTCCTTATAACAAAGCACATTTCATTTTTCGCCAGCGAATGCCAGCTCATTTGATAAAGTGCGGTAAAAAATACAAAGGAGAAGTTTTAATGATGTGCCCTTTCAACGCAATGCACTTGTTCACAAAGAAATCAAAAGAAGACCATTACAAAGAATGTGAAGAGTATGTTCTCAGTTTGCAAAAACAAAGTATGCAATCTTATTATCAATAAGACCCAATTGAGAAAGAAAATAATAGAAACATCAAATCTAAAGATTTTCTAAATAAAATGAATAACTAAGTGCATTAATAAAATTTAATCCATTGAATAAAATTTATCACTACCTGTTACTTTAATGATAGCCTTACATTGAGTGCCTTAAATAATAACACTTCGATGGTTCATCAAATAAAAATAATTAAAATACTTCCTTCTTATTTAACAAAATTTTGAAACTTTGTTTGGGTTCCACTCACATATTAAACAATTTAAAAGGATGCTCAAAAGAATTCCCATAAACAATGATAACATTTACATTGCCCTATATACTTACCCACCTACCAACCTATATAGGTATTTAGGCGAAAAGGGAAACGGGTGATGGCGTCAAGATTGAGATAAACTCTTAGAGGGTGAAGCTTCTAATGCGTCATTTTAGACGTTAACCCGACTTCCATCCTTCTTCTCACGGTTTCTTTCAAAAGCGACGATGAAAAGCTATGAAAATAGCGGAGATAGAAAAATAATTCCTATAATTTCGATACAAATAAATTCCTCTTTGTTATTCTCGTCTTAATTTGTGGTGTATTTTCGTTGAATATTTGCATGTACTGTGTCCGCTATAAGAATTATAAATATTAACTCTGAGTTAGCAAATTAATATTTCAGCGATAGTTACAGTTTTCAAAACAATAAATTAGGTATTTTTGATACCTTTTTATTATGAGACTTACAACTTTAATTCCTGAAATTTGTTTTCTTTTTGTCTCCTACCTCGAGGGATCAGATTTTTGGGGAACCCAAAAAATTGAATTTTCATTTCTGAAATATTTTCATGGAACAACAATTTTAGCTTTTCCAAATAAATAGAAAAAAAAATTCTATATCAGAGAAATTCATAAGAGTTTTTGCATGAATTCTGACTTATTTCTATTTTTATTTACTTTCGTATTCATTTATTATATATTTCCAGGACAATAAACACTAAGAAACTATTTTGCAGGCACATTTAATTCCACGCCAAAAATCATCTTTTTTATTTTTTTGTCATTAGAAATATTGAATAGAAAAGCTTTGTGCTTTTAAAGATTTTAAAGATGAGATTTTTACCTAATTTTTAATTCTATGTAACAATTTTTTCTTGAATTTTGAATTTTTGTCAAAACATAACGCGATTCGATAATGGAACCCTCTGAATCATTCGATGCACAGAGGCGTCGTGAAGAATGCGAAAGAAAAGCTCGACGTGGGGAAATGGATCCCCGTCTGGAATTTGCATTCCAGTTACTGATGGATGGTACAGGACTCCCAAGGCATCAAATTATGGATCATATATTCGAAGGCAATATGCTTGACGAAATCAATCAGCTTTTTCTTCCTAACATGCGTAACAAATTGTTATGGTTTTATCAAGAAGTACAGGAACCTGAACAAGCTCAAGATTTTTCAAGACCTGGCCCTTCTCGAACTACAATTTCATCGTCACGTACTCCGGTAACCGGGTCATCTGCTATAAGTACCACAAAAAGGAAATTATTTTTAACAGATGGTTGGAATTCGTCATTCAATGGTGTCTGTATTTATATGTTTCGTATCAATATATCAAAACAACTTCCAGAAGAAGGTTTTCATAAAGATCTGTGAGTAAATTAAAAACTATCAAAAATATATTTCAAAGAAAATTAGTTTTCATGATAAAAATCGTGCAAGGCTTTTACAAATATTTAAATCTTCAGCTATTAAAGAATTTCCCGATCATCAGCGTTTTATTTGTTGTTAATGTAACAATGTAGTGGAAACATCAAGTGAAAGGACTTTCTTGTCCAACTCTGCAATTATTTATGTAACTGATAAAAATAACATACACGTAACTGATAAAAATAACGATTAATGAAGCTGTTGGTTATTGACTTGTTCACTTAACTGAAATCCTAGTAAAAGCCTATCTGTAAAAACTGAATGTTATCTCATGTGTAAAATTATTTTTTTCACTCATGCATATTTTAAAGTTATTTTTAAATTAATAATGAATTTCAGTAAACAATTTATTCACCAATTAGGACTGATTCAAAATATTTACGTTTATAGATTTTGTGGAATTATTGATGCTGAAAAAGTTGGACTGGTCACTTCTATAGAGCGTATTGTGGAATTTATTTTTATGCAAGCACTTGCTTATCCAAACATTGAGAATGAAGAAGAAGAAATGAATTGTAATATGATAAAGCAGCAACTATTGCCTGGATTACGATCTTTTTGTAGCGCATTACGAGTTTGCGAGCAAGTGTGTACAAAGAATAATATCTTTGATGACGGAAAGGTTGTTGTTACCAAAGTTGACACCTTAACAGAAGTTAAAGAGTTGTCAAAAGCTAGCGAAATTGTAACGGAACTCGAAGAACGGGTTACTAATTGGATGAAAAACATAACAAAAGTCCTTATGGAGAGTGAACAGCTTCGTCGTGAAAATGATTCGAGTGGACCCCAAGATGAACTTGAATATTGGAAAAGACGTGGAGCGCAATTTTCCCAGCTTCTCTCTTATCTTCAAGAAAGAGAAGTGCAATGGACACTCTACTGCTTAACTGTTAGTGGATCTCGAATGATGAAGAATTGGAAAGAAACAGACAAAAAAATAACATTTTGCTATAACGAAGCACGAGACAACGCAAAATTTATTCAAGCTATGGAGAAATGCTGTCATTCACTATATTTAGATGATCCAGTGAATATGCAAGAGTCAATATTGAGTCTTTTGCAAACTGTTCGTCTGATTTATTCCGTTTCACAATTTTATAATAATTCTGAGCGCACTTCAACTCTTATGGTGAAAGTAAGTAGAAGTACTTAATATTATTTTCATAAATATTTGATTTAAATATTTCTCATTCAGATAACCAATCAAATGATAGAAACTTGTAAATCATACATCACTTGTCGAGGAATGGAAACCATTTGGTCTCAAGATCGTAATCTTGTTCGCAACAAACTTACAAACTGTTTGAAATTAAATTACATTTATAGAGAAACCTATTATAGTGTCAGATCACAGCCTTTTCTTCCAGATCAAGCACCTTTTGCATTTTCTGAAAATTTTGTATTTGGAAAATTTGACACATTTTGTGATCGACTATCAAAAATAATTGCAATGTTTAATCTCATTGAAGATTATAATCACTTATTTGAGCGTCGTTTAGAAGGATTGTTGCTTGGTGAAGCATTAGAAGAAGCAATAAATAGTTTTGAGGAGGCTAAAGAGGCTGTGCTTGTTAAAAGATATGATTATTTAGATCACCACAATTTAGAGTTCAACGAAGACTTTGAACTTTTCATGTCAAAAACGAATTCGTTAAAGGAATCAATTGCATCTATGATTGAGAATAATTTCGATTCAGTTTGGGAGACCCCACAAGGAATCAGATTTTTAATACGATTTGAAAAAGTTAGCACGAAAATTCCTATAAGAACAATGAACGAAAAATATGAAAGAATTCTTAATTATTGCGAAAAGGAATTAGATCGGATTCTCAAACTTTTTAAAAAGCAACGAGATGATCCGCCACTTGAACGTTGCCTTCCTCCAATAGCTGGGAGAATCAAATGGTGTCGTAGTTTGCAGGCACACTTAAAAGAACTCATTATGAATATATCGTCACACCCAGTGCTTGTTAACCACACCATCACAAAAAATTTGGAGAATCGCCATAATTATGCAAAAGCTTTCATCGCTGAGTATGAACAGGAAATGATTCAATTGTGGATAAATCAGGATGTTTCAGTAGCTGATGCTTGTTTAGTTCAGCCTGTACTGATTGTGCAGAATGACAAACTTATCGTCAACTTACATCCAACGATACCTTTGTTAATAAGGGAATCAAAATGTTTAGCGAAAATGAAACTCGAATTACCAATCGTCGCAACTACACTTTTATGCAAGCAACATCATTTTGACAAAATTCAAGATTCAATGAACGTAAGCATATTTATTAGTGAATTCATTAAGTATAATTTAATAATATTGATTCACATTTTCCATCTAACTTTCATACTAACTAAGGACTTGATTAAAATGTATTTTCGAGTAACAAAGTCCGTAATTCAAGAAGTAAGACCATTGTTCTTGCCTCAACTTGTGCGTTTGACCACAATGCTGAAACCAGGATTAAAGATAATAAATGTGAGCTTTTTCTTGATCCACGTGATGAAACTAAGTGTTTATCTTAAATTTTGCAGTGGACAAATTTTCATTGGATGGAGTTTTATGAACAATGTAAAGAGGGAATCAATACATTTAATATTCTTGTTTCAAGAGTCAATGATATCTATTCCAGTAAGATTTCGTAACATTTCATTTTTCACTCATTCAAACACATATTTAGTTACATGTAGGTTACATTTATGAATATTTAATTAAATAACATCTTGTCTGTCTGAATTTTTTGATATGTAGAATTTCAAGGTCTTCTTTTAATTAATGTTTGCTTTAAATATTACGAGGGTTTCCAAAGTTTTTCTCAGGCCTGAATACTTGTAATATATTGTAATTTTATTTTCCTTATGTTTGCAATCTTTCATTAATTGTAAATTCTTAAAGTTTTGGGTTTACTTATTCAGTTCAAGGTTTGAAGTTGAATTATTTTTGCTATATTCTATATAAACATGATTATGTTTTTGAAGAAAATCTTTATTCAAGTATCTCATGAATTTAAAGAATTTTTCATGATAAAAACAGTGAACTCTTGATGTAACGATAGCTGAAAGGAGATAAAATTATGGTTGAGTCGGGAAATTTTGGATGAAATTATGACTGATAAGAGACTAAAACAAATCGTTCTAACAAAAGAGCGTTACATTTTGAGGCCAATGTATGTTTCGTACTCTCATTTAATTCAGACATTTAGGTCCTTTAGCTAGATAAGTTCCACCTCAAAATCGTCGTCAGTAAAGTTCTTCTTTTAATTTTACATGTTCTCATTTTAAAATTCTTCGATGTTTTCTATAACAATTTATTCTCTACATTTGCTTATCTAGATCTTGTTTATTAAAAATTAAATCTAAAGTCAAGTGGAACTTTACGAACGACAATTTCGTGGTGGAAGTTTTGTAATTAATTACCTTAATTTTACTTATTAAATTACCTGTCTTTATCACAGACCGAATCTTGTTCGTTTTAAACTCAATGCAAGAGATTTCACTTCAAACATTACCAGTTGAGGGTGAGTTGTGGACTGTCCAGGAATTCCTTGAGAAAAACGAAGACACATGTCGCGCAGCAGCAATTGAGCTTAATCGCAAAAGCCAAATGGTGGAAGAAGCTGTCGAAGAAATTCTGAATCTAGTTCAAAAAGCGAGCATTGTTTTTCGAAACATGATCGGTCATGAGAATGATTTATTTGGTGATGAAGAAGCTGGAGCGCACTCTGCTGAGTTGCAGAACGAAGATCCTGGAAGTTCTAATCAGCAACAAGATTGGAGTTTACTTTATTCCTGTTTCGATAATCCATTGTCACTTTTTATATCATACGAAAATGGATTACCAAAAGGCATGCAAGACATGGTATTTAATGCAATCCATGAAATGAGACGGTACTATAGTCGAAAAGTAATCGATGTATTGATTAAAGTAACACGAACTGCTTTGGATTTGTTGAGAAGAAGATTCGTATCAGAGATTAGTGAAGAGATTATTCAGAAGCCAATTTATATCTGGCAATTGAATGCTATATTAATGATCCCAAATATCGCAATTCGACCGAGCTTAGATGATCTACAAGAAGCACTTCTCCAAACGGGAAGAAATATTGTTAGTGTATCAAAAGGCGTAGCTCAATGGAACGCAGGTCGCAGAGAACAAGGTTGCACAACAATTCAAAATCCAAAAGGACCACGTGCAGCCGTTGCCAATGAACGGGCAAACAGGCGTAGGGTTTATCGTGTTATGTCAGAACAACGACCTCAAATTCCACATATGACGAAAAGCTTCTACAGCTTCGTTATGGAGAATAAAGAGGTTGTGAAAACTTTATCTCTTCTCTCAACATGCACTAAAAATTTGAAACTTGAAATTACTGAATTTGTTAAAAAATGGAAGCCATACAATTTTTTATGGAAGAGCGATAAAACAGTTCGACAACTTCTGGAGTATTGCTTAGTTGACTTTGAAGCCAATCTTCGTTATTTAACTGAACTCGATGCGAATTTGTCCATCGAACCAGACATTGAAAATTTTCCAACATCCTGTGTTGCATTATCTACAGATAAGCTTAAATTTGGACTTAATATCGAAATTAAAGCATTTAAACATAAAATTGGGCAAGCAATGAAAAAAAAATACAAACGTGAGATGGATTACGTATATGCTGTAATAAACGAAATGGATCGCAAACTTGATAGGCCTGTGAGAGACCTCGATGATATAAGAATGGTTATGGATACTTTGGGAAAGATTCGAGAGCAAGAAGTTGACATGGAACTCAAAATAAATCCTATTGAAGATGCTTTTAGCACGCTCTCAAAATATGAAATTCCAATTGAAAAGGATAATATGGAGCTTGTAGATAATTTAAGGAATACGTGGTTTAAACTAAAGAACCGGGCACTGGATACACATTGCAAGCTTCTTGAAATGCAGCCAGTTTTTCAAGAAGAACTCACACAGAACCTTGAAAAGTTCAAAAATGACAAAATTGATTACGTCAATGAATACAACAACGCTGGTCCTATGCAACCGGGCCTTACACCAAGAGAAGCTTCTGATAAATTAATTCTTTTTCAGAATCGATTCGATGGAATGTGGAGACGATTGCAACTTTTTCAGAACGGCGAAGAACTATTCGGTCTTCCTCAAACAGATTATCCGGAACTTGCACAAATTAAGAAAGAATTAAATCTTCTTCAAAAACTCTATAAACTTTATAATGACGTCATTGATCGTGTTTCAAGTTATTATGACATTGCATGGGGTGACGTTGATATCGAAGAGATCAACAATGAACTCATGGAATTTCAAAATCGTTGCAGAAAACTTCCAAAAGGTTTAAAAGAGTGGCCAGCATTTCATGCTCTTAAACGGACTATAGATGACTTTAATGATATGTGTCCCCTTTTGGAATTGATGGCAAATAAAGCCATGAAACCACGCCATTGGCAGAGAATCATGGAAGTCACTAAATATACGTTTGAGTTTGACAGTGATTGCTTCACGCTAAAAAATATTCTAGAAGCACCACTTTTAAAGCACAAAGAAGATATTGAAGACATTTGCATTTCAGCAATGAAAGAAAAAGATATTGAAGCTAAACTGAAGCAAGTTACAAATGAATGGTCAGGGCATGAACTCAATTTTATGTCATTTAATAATCGTGGTGAACTTTTACTGCGTGGAGACACCACAGCTGAAACGATTGGTCAACTTGAAGATTCTTTAATGGTTTTAGGATCTTTATTATCCAATAGATATAACGCACCTTTCAGAAAGCAAATTCAACAATGGGTCTACGATTTGTCGAATTCAAATGACATTTTGGAGCGTTGGCTTCTTGTCCAAAATATGTGGGTTTATCTTGAAGCTGTTTTTGTTGGGGGTGATATTGCCAAACAGTTACCAAAGGAAGCTAAGCGATTCTCTAAAATTGATAAATCGTGGCAAAAAATTATGCAAAGAGCTCACGAAACACCTGGCGTTATTGCATGTTGTGTCGGTGATGATTTATTGAAACAATTATTACCACACTTGCAGGAGCAACTAGAACTTTGTCAAAAATCACTGAGTGGTTATTTAGAAAAGAAGCGTATGATGTTTCCACGATTTTTTTTCGTTTCGGACCCAGCATTATTGGAAATATTAGGACAAGCCTCAGATCCACATACAATTCAAAATCATTTATTATCAATTTTTGACAATACGAGATATGTAAAATTTCATGACGTTGAATATAATAAAATGGTTGCAATCATTTCATCTGAAGGCGAACAAATAGCACTTGACCGAGCGATTCGGGCAGAAGGTTCTGTTGAAACTTGGCTAACATCTCTTCTGCAGTCGGCACAGTCTTCCTTGCATTCAATTATTCGACAAGCAAACATTCAGATCAATGATCCAAACATTCAGACTCTAATTTTCTTAGAAAAAATGCCAGCTCAAGTTGGTATTCTCGGTATACAGATGATTTGGACTCGTGACAGTGAAATAGCATTAATGCAATCTCGTCACGAGAAAAAGATAATGTCGGAAACAAACAACAAATTTTTGGAACTATTAAATATGCTTATTGATCAAACGACAAGAGATTTGGCTAAAATTGATCGCATAAAATTTGAGACATTGATTACTATTCATGTTCATCAAAGAGACATTTTTGACATCCTGGTAAGTTGAAAGATTGCTTAAAAAATGTTGGCTTAATTCCGCAACATTTTTCTGTTCCCGAACAAAGAAATTGAATATAACGGGATCAGAAATCTGTTCCGAATTTTTTCCCAAAAAAAGAAAGAGTTTTTAATAGTAGAGCTTTTACTTGACTTGAATTAAATCAGAACAAGTCGCAAAATGAAACAATAAGAAATGGAACAAATTTTGTTTTATTTTCCAACATGTTCCGATTCAATTCAAACCAAGTCGAAGCGCTGATGATAGAATAATGCTAAAAACATAATTTTTTTATAATATTACATTTCAAAGTGTCGCATGAATATCCGATCTGCTAATGATTTTGAATGGCTGAAGCAGGCTCGTTTCTATTTCAAAGAGGATTTGGATAAAACTTGGATGTCGGTGACTGATGTAACGTTTACATATCAAAATGAATACCTGGGATGTACAGAGAGACTTGTAATAACACCTTTAACTGATCGATGTTATATAACTTTAGCTCAAGCCTTGGCTTTATGTATGGGCGGAGCACCTTGTGGGTAAGTGTTCAAAAAATTTATTTTTTCATCTACTTATGTAATCGTCATTAGACCGGCTGGTACTGGTAAAACTGAAACTGTCAAGGATATGGGAAAAACTTTAGGGAAATATGTCGTGGTTTTCAATTGTTCTGATCAAATGGATTACCGTGGCTTAGGAAGAATTTACAAAGGTCTTGCTCAGTCAGGAACGTGGGGATGCTTTGACGAGTTCAATCGAATTGAATTACCTGTTTTGTCAGTAGCCGCACAACAAGTTGCTGTAGTGTTAACCGCTAAGAAAGATAAACGTAAAAGCTTTGCTTTTACGGATGGAGATATAATAGATTTGAATCATGAGTTTGGCATTTTCATAACAATGAATCCTGGATATGCAGGTCGAAAAGAATTGCCAGAAAATTTGAAAATTCAATTCAGAACTGTTGCAATGATGGTACCTGATCGACAAATCATTATAAGAGTTAAGCTGGCATCTTGTGGATTTTTGGAAAACATTACACTGGCTCGCAAATTTTATACACTTTATAAGCTTTGCGAGGAACAATTAACTAAACAAGTACATTACGATTTCGGGTTAAGAAATATTTTATCGGTATTGAGGACATTGGGAACATCTAAACGATTTAATAGTAAAGATTCTGAAAGTACAATAGTGATGAGAGTTCTAAGAGATATGAATTTGTCTAAGCTCATCGATGAAGACGAGCCATTATTTCTTTCCTTAATTTCTGATCTGTTTCCAAATCAATCTCTTGAAAAAACAACTTATGCTGAACTTGAAATGGCTATTGGGCAACAAGTTGATGAAGCAGGTCTTATTAATCACCCTCCATGGACTCTTAAACTGATTCAGCTTTATGAAACACAAACAGTTAGGCATGGTATAATGACACTTGGCCCTTCAGGTGCGGGGAAAACCAAATGCATTCATACACTTATGAAAGCACTGACAAAAACGGGAAAAGTTCACAAAGAAATGAGAATGAATCCAAAAGCTATAACTTCATCTCAAATGTTTGGTAAGCTTGATGTTGCTACAAATGATTGGACTGATGGCATCTTCAGTGCCATGTGGAGGAAAACTTTGAAAATGAAAAAGCAAGAAAATATTTGGCTCGTCCTTGATGGTCCGGTAGACTCGATATGGATTGAAAATTTGAATTCTGTTCTTGATGATAATAAAACGTTAACACTTGCAAATGGAGATCGTCTAGCAATGTCACCATATTGTAAAATCATTTTTGAACCACATAACATCGATAATGCATCACCAGCTACAGTTTCACGTAATGGTATGGTTTATATGAGTTCGTCAGGTCTGGATTATACTCCAGGATTAGGATCTCCAGGTATTATTTCTTTGTTTTACTTTTATTCATCTCAAGGATTAGAATTAAAAAATTAATAAATTTTTGTTTCTTAAAGTTTTAACTGCCTGGCTGAAAACTAGAAGCGCTAGAGAAAAATCAGTTTTCTCTGAACTTTTTGATCAATCGTTTATACAAATCTATACATGGGGAACACAAAATTCTGATTTTATGATGGAAGTTCTACAGTGCAACATAATTCAACAAATTCTTGCTATACTCGATGGTCTTATACCAGTCTCAAAAGATAATGAACATACTGCGACAATATCTGTTGCTGGAAGTAATGAAGGTAAGATTTACATTTTTTTTCCTGTACAGAAAATAAACTTTATTAATAATACAATATTTTTTTGAATGACTAATTTCCAGGTGCATTTGAAAGTCGCCGTAGGTGTCTTATTTATTAACATGCCGCATCTCATTCACACATATAAATTTATAAAATTATATATCTTGAATATTGTAATCTGCTATTTTATTTTATTTAGAATTCGTTAAAAGAGAATTTACGGAAGCCCCACAAAGGCTATTTTTCTGAGGCTTTCACTTAAATCACAATCGCGTGTCAAAGTTTCATTCACTAGTTAAATTTTTTGAAAATGAATTCGCAAAACCACCCAAGAGGGTAATTAGTGATTTTTGTAAGACTTAAGGTATGACTCATAATGGTTTTCAAAAGTTTCATACATCGGTGAAAAATTCTGAAAATGAACTCGCAAAACGTCCCAAGAGGGTAATTAGTGATTTTTTTAAGACTTAAGGTATGACTCATACTGATTTTCAGAAGTTTCATACATCGGTGAAAAATTCTGAAAATGAACTCGCAAAACGTCTCAGGAGAGTAATTAGTGATTTTTTTAAGACTTAAGATATGACTCATACTGATTTTCAGAAGTTTCATACATCGGTGAAAAATTCTGGAAATGAACTCGCAAAACGTCCCAAGAGGGTAATTAGTGATTTTTTCAAGACTTAAGGTATGACTCATACTGATTTTCAGAAGTTTCATACATCGGTAAAAAATTCTGAAAATGAACTCGCGAAACGTCCCAAGAGGGTAATTAGTGATTTTTTTAAGACTTAAGGTATGACTCATACTGATTTTCAGAAGTTTCATACATCGGTGAAAAATTCTGAAAATGAACTCGCAAAACGTCTCAGGAGAGTAATTAGTGATTTTTTAAGACTTTCGAAACGAAAATATTAAGAATATCGAATGTTAGCGGAAATATTGAAATTATTGATGAAAAAAATAAAATTCTCTTATAACGTATTTTAAAGAAAATAATATAGAAGATTACAACATTCAATGTACTATTTCAAAAATTGTTAACTCTAGAATATCATTAACAGATGATCAACTCGAAGAGGATGATCAATTGAAAATCGAGGTAGCATCACCAGAACACCTTCATCGTCTCTACATATTCGCGTTTGCCTGGAGTTTAGGAGCATTATTGTCTTCAGCAGATCGAATCAAAATGGACGAATTCATGAAAAGTCGTTTTAAAGATTATGACTACCCAAAAGATAATGAGAATCGTGACTCAACTATTTTTGATTTCTTTGTTGCACCGAACGGGTCATGGGAACATTGGAGAAATTTGGTCTCGCAATACGTTTATCCAGAGACGGCTACGCCAGAATTTTCTTCAATTCTTGTTCCAATTATTGACAATGCTAGAATTGAATATTTAATTGGAACTATTGCTAATCAAGAACGAGCAGTATTACTGATTGGTGAGCAGGGGACTGCCAAAACTATAATGATAAAAAATTATATGAAAAAAATGAATCCTGATACTTACATGGGTCGATCGTTTAATTTTTCATCTGCGACATCACCGTATCAATTCCAAAAAACAATTGAAAGTTACATAGACAAGAGACTTGGCAATACTTTTGGGCCTGCTGGTGGTAAAAAACTTATTGTTTTTATTGATGACATAAACTTACCTCATATTAATGAGTGGGGGGATCAAGTGACAAATGAAATTGTTCGACAAACAATGGATATGAAAGGATTCTTTAATCTTGAGAAACCTGGTGACTTCACTAATATTGTTGATGTACAATTTATTGGAGCTATGGGTTTGCCTGGTGGTGGAAGAAATGATATTCCTTCGAGATTGAAACGCCAGTTTTGTATTTTCAATTGTAATGTTCCTGATGACACATCTATTGACACCATTTTTAGAACAATTGGCGAAGGGCATTATAATGCAAAGCGTGGCTTTCTACCTGACGTGAGAAAACTTGTTAAAAAACTCATACCTATAACACGTTTATTATGGCAGGCAACCAGAGATAAACTTCTTCCAACACCAGCGAAATTTCATTATGTATTTTCTCTTCGAGATTTAAGTCGTATTTGGCAAGGTATGATAGGAACATTATCAACTGTTATAGTTAATGAAGGAGTCATGATTTCACTATGGAAAAATGAATCTACACGAGTGTTTGCGGATCGATTCACATCATTTGATGACTATAATTGGTTTGCAAAGGAATTGATAACGATTGCAACAAATGAATTAGGAGAATCTTATAACCATATGTTAATGCCTAGTCCAGTGTTTGTAGATTTTATGAGAGATGCTCCAGAACCAACAGGCGAAGAAGGAGAAGAAACTGATATGGAACTTCCAAAAGTTTATGAGCCTGTTTCAGATATCGACTTTTTACGGGACAGATTGAAAATGTTTCTCGTTCAGTTCAATGAGATGGTTAGAGGTAAAGTACATTTAAATTAATAATTTACGTTATTCAATAACATTTATTAATTTCACAGGCGTTGGAATGGATTTAGTCTTTTTCCCAGATGCAATGCTTCACTTAGTTAAAATTTCACGTGTAATTCGGCACCCACGAGGAAATGTTATGTTAGTCGGTGTGGGTGGATCAGGCAAACAATCTTTAACCAAACTTGCATCATTCATTGCTGGCTATAAAACATTTCAAATTAGTTTGACGCGAAGTTATAATGTTGCAAATTTTTTGGAGGACTTGAAATTACTTTACCGAACCTGTGGTGTGCAAGGAAAGGGCACAACTTTCATATTCCAAGATTTAGATGTAAAAGAAGAAATCTTTTTGGAATACTTAAATAATATTTTATCATCAGGTGTAATTTCAAATTTATTTAATCGCGATGAACAGCAAGAAATCATCTCGGAATTAACGCCAATAATGAAACGTGAAAATCAAAAACGTACAATCAACCAAGAAACCGTGATGGAATATTTCTTACAGCGAACTTGCTACAATTTACATGTCGTTTTCTGTTTTTCTCCAGTTGGTGACACTTTCAGACGTAAAATTTCTAAATTTCCAGCTCTAATATCTGGCTGTACCATTGACTGGTTCCAGCCGTGGCCAAGAGATGCGTTAATAATGGTAGCAGAACATTTCCTTACTGATTTTGAAATTGAATGTTCAGTCAATGTGAAAATAGAATTAGTGAAAGCTCTTGGTACTATCCAAGATGGGGTTTCGGACACTTCAGTAGAGTATTTCCAAAGATTTCGAAGAGCAACTCATGTTACACCAAAGTCATATCTTAACTTTATTGCTGGTTACAAAAATATTTACACATTGAAATATAACGAACTTTGCGAAGGTGCAGAGAAAATGGATACAGGATTAGAAAAACTTGCAGAGGCTTCTGAATCAGTTGAAATCTTAAAAAAAGATTTGGCAGTAATGGAGACTGAATTAGCCGAAGCTTCATTGAAGTCAGAGCGAGTATTAGTAGAGGTTACAGAACGTGCATCACAAGCTGAAGCAGTCAAGAATCAAGTTATGATTGTAAAAGAAAAGGCTGAAGCACTTGTCACAAATATTGCAGCTGAGAAAGCTCTTGCAGAAGAGAAACTTGAAGCTGCGAAACCTGCATTGGAAGAAGCTGAAGCAGCTTTGAATACAATTAAACCTGCTCATATTGCCACAGTTCGAAAACTTGGTCGACCACCTCACTTAATTATGAGAATTATGGATTGCGTGCTAATTTTATTTCAAAGAAAGCTTCATCCAATTATTCCAGATACATCTGCACCATGCCCTAAACCTTCATGGCATGAATCGCTTAAAATGATGGCATCTACAACTTTCCTTCTTCAACTGCAGAATTATCCAAAAGATTCTATAAATGATGAAATGATTGAACATCTAACACCCTATTTTCGAATGGAAGACTACAATATGGATACAGCCAGGAGAGTCTGTGGTGATGTTGCTGGTTTGCTTTCGTGGACAAAAGCTATGAGCTTCTTTCATGGAGTCAATAAAGAAGTATTACCATTGAAGGCTAACTTAACTATGCAAGAAGCTCGATTAAAGGTAAAATTTGATTAGTGAGTAGAATAAGAATTTGGACATTTTTATTTACTGTATTTATAAAGAACATGACATGTAAATTGATGCTACTAGAAATTATATTGCGCTAGAAGTAATCAAATACAATTATGATGATATTAATTAACAACTTCTTTCATGTATTATAGTTGGCTATGGAAGATTTATCTGCCGCTGAAAGTCAACTTGAAGAACGTGAACAATCTTTGCAACAAGTGAAGAATTTGTATGATGCAGCAGTTCAAGAAAAGCAAAGACTTACAGATGCTGCGAATGTCTGTCTTCGTAAAATGACAGCAGCCACTGCGTTAATTAATGGCCTAGGTGGAGAAAAAATTCGTTGGACCCAACAAAGTAAGGAATTTAAGGAACAAATTGGAAGACTAGTAGGTGACGTGCTATTAGCAACAGGATTTTTATCTTACTGCGGTCCATACAATCAAGACTATCGCTCCACTCTTATGAAATTTTGGATGCAATTGCTTAAAGATAAGAAGATCCCATACACAAAAAACATCAACATCATAAGTATGCTTGTAGATAATGCAACTATCTCAGAATGGACTCTTCAAGGACTTCCAAATGATGAACTGTCAGTTCAAAATGCATTAATTGCCACTAAGAGTAGCAGTTACCCCTTACTTATTGATCCTCAAGGGCAGGGAAAATTATGGATTAAAACGAAGGAAGATCAAAATGAATTACAAACAACATCTCTAAATCACAAATATTTCCGAACTCATTTGGAAGACAGTCTATCACTTGGACGCCCTCTGCTAATTGAAGATGTTGGCATTGAACTTGATCCAGTTATTGACAACGTATTGGAAAAGAACTTTATAAAATCTGGATCTATTGAAAAAGTTTTAGTGGGTGACAAAGAATGTGATGTTATGCCAGGTTTTATGATTTATATCACAACAAAGCTTCCTAATCCCATGTTTAGTCCAGAAATCAGTGCTAAAGCATCAATTATCGACTTTACTGTAACAATGCGTGGTCTTGAAGATCAATTGTTAGGTCGAGTTATTCTCATGGAAAAATCAGAACTAGAGTCCGAACGTGTAAGTCTTTTTGAAAGTGTCATGAAAAATCAAAGAAGTATGAAGGAACTGGAAGCAAATTTACTATGTCGTTTAACTGCAACAGAAGGATCTCTTGTGGATGATGAAGCTCTTATAGAAGTTTTGCGAGAAACTAAAACCACAGCAGAGGAAGTAAATCAAAAACTTCAAATATCAGAAATAACTGAAAAAAAAATTATGATAGCCCGAGAGGAATATCGAGCAGTAGCAACGCGAGGCTCGATACTTTACTTTCTTATTGTAGAAATGAGTAACGTCAACATCATGTATCAGAATTCACTTAAGCAGTTCCTCAATATTTTCGATAACTCAATAACAAAATCAGCCCGCAGCAATATAACGGAAGAAAGAATAAATATCATTTTAAGATATTTGACGTATGAAGTTTGGGCGTTTACAAGCAGAAGTTTATATGAAAGACACAAGCTGCTGTTCACTCTTATGTTAGCAATTAAAATTGACTATCACAAGGGTGTCATAACTCATACAGAGTTTATGTCATTCATTAAAGGCGGTGCTTCACTTGATTTAAATGCAGTATCACCAAAACCTTTCAAATGGATTCTTGATATAACATGGCTCAACCTTGTTGAAATTTCTAAGCTAAAGCCTTTCAATGACGTTTTAAAGAAAATTGAAAACAATGAGCGTGAATGGAAAATTTGGTATGAAACAGAGAAACCTGAACAAGAAGAAATACCTTGTGGGTATAATGCTCTCGATGTTTTCCGTAAATTAATATTGATTAGAAGTTGGAGTCCAGACCGAACTATTTCACAAGCGAGAAAGTACATTGAAGGTTGTTTGAGAAATAGAAAAATTAATCTTCGTTTAAAAAATATAAAAAACCTTGCTTTATGTTTTAAGAATCATTGGGACCCGAATACAGCGAAACTCACATTTTGGATTTAGAGATTACTTGGGAAGAGTCTGAACCTCGAACACCTCTGGTTTGCATTCTTTCTATTGGTTCCGATCCAACAAATCAAATTATATCTCTTGCAAAATTAAAAAATATTTGTGAGTTTTTGATGTTTGAATTAAATTCTGAAATTGAATTGAACCCATTTTATATTATTTACCAGCTATTAAAGCTGTTTCTATGGGACAAGGTCAAGAATATCACGCTCGCAAAATGATCTCAGAATGCATGGTAGAAGGTAAATGAAATTTTTTGATTATGTCAGTTAAATTACCTTTTCAATATGTAGGACCGTGACTAGATTTGACTTGACTTGACTTATTTTTTTGACTTAAATCGAAAAATTATTCAAACTCGTCCTACTTCTTTTTACTCACCTGGAAAACTTTTGTTTGACTCGACTTGAAGAAAGCTCAAATGACTCATAACCCTGCTTTTAATCAATCATTAATGTGTTTTAAATTCACAGGTGGGTGGATTTTACTTCAAAACGTGCATTTATCGCTAAATTTTTGTGCTGAAATAATTGATATTCTGATTGAAACTGAACATGTCCAGGAAAATTTTCGTCTTTGGGTAACCACAGAAGTACATCAAGACTTTCCAATTGTAAGTATTGAATAAGTCTTTATAAATAGATATTTACATGATTTTAAATTTTAGGGTCTACTCCAACTTGCAATTAAGTTCACAAATGAACCACCGCAAGGTATTAGGGCAAGTATGAAGAGAACGTATCAAACTTTTACACAAGATTATTTGGATTACACGTCAGCCATACAGTGGCCACCTCTTTTGTACACTGTAGCTTTCCTTCACACAGTTGTTCAAGAACGCCGAAAATTTGGCCCATTAGGATGGAATGTCGGATATGAATTTAATCAGGCAGATTTCGCCGCTAGTGTAGCGTTCATTCAAAATCACCTTGATGAAATGGATCCAAAAAAAGGAGTATCTTGGCAAACAATTTGCTATATGATTGGAGAGGTACAATATGGAGGTCGTGTAACTGACGATTTTGACAAGAGATTGCTAACAACATTCTGCGCTGTGTGGTTTTGCGATAGTTTGTTATCTTCCAATTTTGAATTTTATAATAATTATAAGGTTCCTGTAACAAAAAATATTCAAAATTACGTTGATTACATCAATTCTCTTCCTATAAATGACACACCCGAAGTCTTTGGCCTTCATGGTAATGCAGATATCACATATCAAATTAATACAGCAAAAGGAATACTAGATACAATTCTAAGTGTTCAACCTAAGGAAAGTGGTGGTGGAAGCGGCGAGTCACGGGAAAACATAGTTTACCAGCTTGCAGATGATATGTGAGTTATCTTAATTAATTTTAAGTAAGTTTCGAAAACGATTTGGGAAGATTGATAATATAGTCAATGCTAAATAAACTAGTCGAACTACGAATAATTTGTTGGAACGCACTATCGTGATTTTTGTGTTTAGCAAAAATTCGTTGAGCTAATGAAAAAGGCTCGATTAACACACTCCCTCGATGATGATGATGATTTCTCTACTTTTTCAAAATTATATAGGCTAAGGAAACTTCCTCCACAATATAACTCATTTGAGGTGAAAGAAAATTTAGCGAGGATGGGCGCATTGCTACCTATGAATATTTTCCTAAGGTAAAACGCAATTTTAAAAAAATATTTAAGGTTTTCACCAAGGGTTTGACTTGATTTGAATTGAATCGGAATGCCGAAAAATGCAACAAAATTTGTTCCATTTCTTATTGGTTCATTTCAATTTACGAATTGTTCTCCTCTTAATTTTCCATTTATCATTTGGTCCTCTAATAATGTTTCAATTCAAGTCAAGTCGAATCTAAAGTTTTCACATTGAGCATGTACAAATGTCATGTCTGACCTTAATAGTGAGAATTCTATTATTTTTTTTAATTATTTCCAACAGACAAGAAGTAGACAGAATGCAGAAAGTCATCAGAACCGTTTTTACAAATTTAAATGATTTGAAACTTGCAATTGATGGAACTATTGTAATGTCACAATATTTGAAGGATTCTCTTGATGCCATGTATGATGCTAGGATTCCCGAACGTTGGCAAAAAGTAAAATTTCGTCTTTTACATATTAAATTAATGCACTTGACCATATCTATATCTTTTTTTAATTTGAATCAGATTTGTGTTCCCGTTGGGTTTCCCTTAAATGTTTCGAAAGGGAAAATTACACACTCAAAATATTTAACATTTTCCGATTTAAATAAAAATGTGAAATTATAATTTTGCTGGTGGCACGCGCGACATCGATTCAAATCTTCTTTCAAAATTTTTTTCTGTTCTTTTCTGAAGATGTCGATAAAGATCATTTTTCTATTCTTTACTAGTGCCAGTAAAACTAATAAAAAAAATTCAATGATATTGGATTTGGGAAATTCATGAGTTCTACCAAAGTTCATCAAAATATGAAGGGTTTTGTTTAATTTTGATTATTTTCCATTCGATGAAAATCAGTTGTAAATTTTTTCCTCAACAAAATTTCACCCAAACCAATACGGAACATTTCAAAAATATTACTAATTAAACCTGAAAGTAGAGATATCTTTGAGCTAAACTGCTATATAAAATTACTTTCTGGATTATGAGACAATTCAAATAAAAAAATAATTTCTCTCTGGAGGAAGAATGACGTAGAATAACAAAAAAATTGGAAAAACAGAGTTCATGTTCTGTTCATTTTCTCTGATCTTTAATTTATGTCAATTTTGTAATTTTTCTATAATATTTACTTTAGATATCATGGGAATCTACAACGCTTGGTTTCTGGTATACCGAGTTATTAGAACGAAATGCTCAATTCCGAACATGGTGCGCTAGTGATAGACCAAAGGTAAATAAAAATAGAAAAATTGTTATAAAAAATGTAGCGCTTAATATGAAGAATTCAATCGGTGAAATAATATTTACCAAATCAAGTGAATAACTTTTCAGCAGGGCTTTGACTTGTATGGGCTTTGCTTCAAGTCATAAGATTGTCTTAAGTCAAGTCAAGAAAATAAGTTGAGTGATAGAAAAGCACACAAATTAAACCAAATCAAGTCAAAGCCTTGTTTCTCAGTAACCGAATCTGCTTATTAATCGATATTAAAATACATACAATGGGATTCGATCCCAATCAAACCTAAATCGATGTAAATAATTTAATTTAAATTCTCACAGGTCTTTTGGATGACGGGATTCTTCAATCCACAGGGTTTCTTGACTGCAATGCGTCAGGTAATTTATAATGTATTCGCAATTAGGTAAAATTCCATAAATAAATTTTCTTCAAATCCAACAAGTTAAAGCGACGGACATAATTAAGATAAACTTTTTTATAACCCACCTGAAAATGTTAAATAATTTTTTTTCTGTTGATTGTTTTTCATCAACTGTTCACTTGTTTCTCATTAAAATAAAGAAATGTAAGTGATTCAAACGATATTAGCTCATTTTAATAAAAGTTATCAAATTCCAGCGTTATACTGACGATTATTTCCATAAAACTCCCTCTTTAAGATTTAGATACAAGAGGCTTAAAATCATGTTCCAAGTCAAATTAATGACGTATAATTTTATCCGCCTCTTCACGTATATAATGGTCAGTCATCGCTTTAATTAAACTTTCTGAAAATTTCCTGTTTAAATTTATTCATTCTTCCAATTTCAAATCTAATTCGTTTTGTAGAGAGCGGATACCTTTTCCATTGCTTCACATTTTGCTCCGCATCTTGATTTGATTTTCTTTTATTCCCTTTTTCTTTAACATCTTTTTGATGAAGAAGACAGCACTGATGCACATCAAAATCAGAAGCTTTAAAATAATATGAAAGCATTTTAGATACAAGTTTTTTCCCTTTTTTTGCCGTACATACAAATAACAATAAAAGCTATTCAGAAAAAACTGCTTTATAAAGAAAATGTTTGAATAGCTTTCTAATTTTGTACAACTTTATTGTATTTCAATTTCTTAATCAGGAGGTTACTCGAGCGCACAAAGGTTGGGCTTTGGATTCTGTTGTGCTACAGAATCAAATAACCCGTTATAGCAAAGAAGAAATTCATGATCCGCCAAATGAAGGTGAAATTTAGATTAAAACATATGATCAACATGAAGGTTTTTATCATTTTAATGTCGTTTGTATCCTTTTTTTCTTTTAGGAGTTTATGTTTACGGGTTGTTTTTAGAAGGTAAATTTACTTATGAAATGTTGAAATTCACGAACTATGGCATCACGAATTATGATGCTTATCCGCGCGATTCTCTTGTAATAAATGATTTGTGATTTTTTTTAATGTGAACATATTTTTTACGAGAAATTTCGCATCATCTTCAATTTGCTGTTTCTACGTCATATTACTTAAAATTGATTTTTTTGGATCTGATATATTGGATGACATACACATAAATTTTGTTCTTAGGCAAAAGCAAATTTGTGTATTTATATACAAATATTTATTTACATAGGAAAACGTAATTTATCGCTATGACGAAATATTGAAACAGTAAGAAGCTTCGACATAGGTATATAAGTTTCAATTACCATTATTTCTGTCGGCCTAAGTATTCATTTTCTTGTTAAAATATTGGTTTTTTCTTTTGGTTTCTTGTCAAGATAAATTTCAAGCTTCATGTTTTCAAGACAGAGCAAACAAAATTATTATGAAAGTCTCGTCTTATTTTTTCATGGCTTTCTCATGTAAAAAACAAACAAATGAAACGTTTTTGACCATAAACAACCCTCCAATTGTTGTTTACATCAGAAGTATACATATTTTTAGGATGAAGATGATTAGTTTTTGTTTGGCTTCAAAATATGTTTACCTATTTTCGTCTATGTTTTTTTTACTAGGAGCATCGCTTGATAGACGTTCTGGAAAACTGATTGAATCAAAACCAAAAGTTCTTTATGAACAAATGCCAGTTATTTACATTTACGCAATAAATACAACTGCAGGTAAAGATCCTAAGCTCTATGAGTGTCCAATATACAGAAAACCTCAACGAACAGATTTGAAATATGTCGGCTCAATTGATTTTGAAACGGATTTGTCTCCAAGACATTGGACAATGCGTGGTGTTGCTTTATTATGTGACATCAAATAATTATCACTCTTACTTATCTTAAATAATAATCCCACTATATGCTTTTACTTTTCAAGAAGTCAAAAATAATGTAAAAGATATTACATAAAACATATGTCTCACATATATCTTTTTGGATTAAAAGATTTATCTTACACGTTTTCATCTTAGCGCAATAAGAAATGTCTTGTGTACATGAAAAAAAGTAAAACAAAAATCCTCTTTCAGCATTAAATAAGCGGAGAATTATGAGTTTCCATAATTAAGTTTGAATGAGGGAAAGAGGATGGGCTTAAAATTCTTGATATCTATACATATACAATGGAACTTCGATAAACAGATGGCTGAAGGTGCATCAGTTAATCGAGGCAATTTTTCATACAAATTCGATTCAAGGGGACAAAAAAATATCTGTTTATCAAGGTCATCTGTTTATTGAAGTAGCTGTTTATCGAAGTTCCACTGTACTAGAATTTTAAGTCGTTTACCGGTTTTGAAACAAATGTGAAAATATGTTGCGAAATATCTAACATACATGTGGCGAATTTCACGTTGTTCACGTGACGGTCAAAAATTTCAAAGCTGAATATAATATCTATAGCTTGAACTTTAACTGAAATCAATTACACCTACTTTAAAATGGAGCTTACCAAGTTGTATTTCAAAGTGCAATTAGTTTCAGTAAAAGCTGAAGCCATACATAATATTCAGTTGTGAACTTTTTGACGTTCACGTGATCAACATGAAATGCGATAAACTAAACATTTGAATGCTTACAAATTTCATTAAAAAGGTAATTTAGAGAATTTCCCTGGAATTCATGAAAAGCCCTAAATTTTTCTTATCTCAGTACTTACTTTGAAATATGGCAAGAATTTAACCTTTTATATGTACTTATCTCTTTATCTTTATGTAACTATGAAAATATTTATTGAAAGATTGTTGATGAACTTATTAAATTTTACTTTTTGACTTTAGCTATGCTTTTATCAATTAATAAACATAATACGAAAATGATTGCCTTCCTTGCTTATCCTGAAAATGTATGTAAATAAAAAATTGTAGTAGCTTTTAGAAAAAATAAAAATGATTGAAGCAGTAAAGAAAACAAAGGGAAAGCAGTTTATCTTTAACTTTACTTCATCTGTTCCTTTCGCTGTTCATAAAATTAATATATATCATATCGTTATTGCTTAAAATTATGTTATTTATTTACATATATAAACGTGGGCTTGGTTTCAATATAATTTCGTCTTCTTATCTTCACAATAACTTACATCTCATATCTCTCTTGGATACTTTCAAAAATACTTTTTTAAGTAAAATAATATAGTTTCTATCTTGTGTTTTAATTAACAAAATTTTATTAGAGCCTTTTTTAAATCCATAATCCATATTCATCTATAGGATTGTTTATTTTTTTGAAGAATATTTTTTCAATAGAAATATTTTTTAGGTTTATATTTATAAATAATATATGTTATATCATATTATTGTGTCTTGTTGAAAATGTCAAGAATATCTTACATTAATATGGACTTTATTTAAGAATAAGCGATAAATAGTTGCCAAATTTGATTTTTTTTATATCTTTTACAGATATCCCTTTGAAACAATTGTGCAAGAGTAATATAGGAAGAAAGTCATCTTTTTTAAGTTTTGTTCCAATAGTAATGTTCTAATAATATTTCACAAATCAAATGTTTTCAAGAGGAATTTTAAAATAGCTGCTGAAGTCCTTTTATCACATACATAAAGAAACAATATTCATTATCTCCTTCTAATTAAAAGGAAACTTTGTATTTCCATTAAAATAACTATTTCAATATTTCATATAATTATTTTAAACAATAATAAATTATTTATAAAGTTGAGAAAAATAACCTTTGTTCGTTTATAACATACAAGCTTCTCTTATCAATTATTTTGAAAAAAATATCTTATAATTTCTTTAAAGGAACTTATAAATATTTTTGGTAACTGCTTCTTTATTCATTTTACTTTTATTCTATCTTTATATATGTAAGGGCAATAACCATCTCGATGGAGCTAACATTTATTTGAACGCAGTCTTGAAATCTTAAATTAAACATTTTTCACACTACAATGTTAGTGCTCAAAGTTCAAAAATTATTCTTATTGTAAATGTAAAATTCTTTTTCCTTTTTGCTTTAGAAAGGCTGGTGCCTAATTAAATTTCTTATTCTCCAATTTGTAAAATATAATTCTCTCTCTCATTGAAAACTTACCAGATATGATTGAAAAATTTTCAACAACTCTGTTTACGAAAAAGCTTTTCCGACTAACAAAATGTGAAGAAAATAATTAACAATCACTGAAGTGACACTTTGACCTTATAATTGGAGGTAATTTAGGGTCAATTATCATTAAATTAACGGTAAAAACACATTGAGCAAGATTTTTCCACTATGACTATCATTAACATTTTGCTCACGGTTTTATCGGTCATTTGAAAATCACTTCAATCAAATTTGAAAATCCAATTTTCAACCAATGTTTTTTTTTCACCAACCCACATATTTTTTACACACTCCAATTCAATGATAGAATAGGACAAAATTAAAGGTTCGTACCTCCAATTTAATGAATGGATATATTATATCACTTTTTCCTAATTTGACTAGAGACAAATTTCTATCCCCGAACTGAAAATACTTTTTTCCACCGTGTTGGAAATTTAAGCTACTGTGACCTTTGAAACGATTTAAAATTTCGTACGCTGGATACATCGGTGGAATGAATTTTTCCACGTCTCTAAAGCTTAAAAGAACTATAAAAAGTTCATAAAATGTAAAGACGGAATTTTCCAAGTTAAATCGGTTGTGAAATTCTAAATGCTTTACTGTTTCTAGTGGACGAATATGTTGATTTTAATTTAATTCATAGTGCTAGTTTTCTGCAAAACGCTACAAGAAATTTTATGTTTTTGAGCCGGATGAATTTCATCTACTAAATTTAAAAGTTACATTTAAAATGACTTTTAACCAGATTAAATACAAGATAAAAATCTTCATTCATCAAACTTTAGGAACAGTAGATGTGTTGTTAGTTTGTTGGGAAATTTCGTTACTATAATAAGAAACTAGGCTTAATTGAAGCATGAGTTCCTTAATATAGTTCTTTCTTTAACCTCACTAGATTCCTTTTTATAAAGTTTGTATCTGATAAAACAGCACTACCTCCATCGACATGGTCATCGACCCAACATATACAAATATATATTTTATTGAAGCGAAGTCTTTTTAGAGTTTCTTGAGTGTTTTAATAAAGGGTTTCGGTGATCTACAATTTTAACATTTTCTATAATTACTTAGATTATGCTTGACAGTCTGTTTTTGTAAAAACTGTAAACATATTTTAGCTGAGAATTATCGTCATCAATGACGTTATTATTTGAATCGTTTATAATATAGGCCTTGCCATTACCCAAACCATTTACAGCTGCTTCACCTGATTCCTCATTTTCTTCTTCTTCTCCAAATTTTGTACTTTGATTGGTGATGACAGAATTTCCTGAGCGTTGTTTTAATGGTGGGAAGTTCTCTATAACGGAGTTTTTCGAGTTATATAATGGTTTGTAAAGTCGTGCCGGATCATATCGATTTCTCAAATATTCTTCAATGTCATTGTTATCAATAGAATTGCCGCGTTTTCCAATGCTTTTAAGAATTTCTTTATTAATTTCCGCCTTAGGTGATGTATTTTATTTCCATGTGAGGGAGAAAAATTACATCAGCAAAATTAAATTATGGCTGAAACGTTTTAAAGTGTCGGGTTCTGTATGTATTATGATAAAATATTTACACACGTCACCGAACTTGTTTAAGAAATGAAGGTTCATAGTGAAGTAAAGGTATGAAAGGAAATTTATTCTATATTCTGTATATTTAGATATATACCTGTTTGTTTGAATTTTCTCTTTGTCTTCTTGCCATCTCCAGCATAACGCGTTGGCGAAGAACATCCAAAGGATTTACAATTGATAATGAGGGCTTGGTCCTTTTAGGTAAAAAATATTTTTCCTGTAAATTATCAAAAATAACAAAGAATTTATATTTTCTCTTTGACATGAAGTTACAAGATGATAAAAGATATGAAAATCAAATTTGATTATTATTATTATATACTTTACATCATACATTCATGTACGCATCTTTTTTACTTTTAAATCACATCATGAACTCATATCTGTGAATATTTTCCACATCCTGTAATATTCAGCCGTATAAGTAATAACATGAAATGTTTCTTTTTACATATTTTTAAATTTGTTCACCACATTCTCGAGCACGTTTTTGGTGAATATGCGCATGACGTCATTTACTTGTGAAAGTGTTAGTTTTTTTCTCATTTGTTGACATCGTGAAATTGTTAAAAAGAAATATTTAGAATCATATTTAGAATCAGATTATATACGAAATGAATAGCAGAGCATTCAAATTTCGTCCGTATGAACTGGTTCAAGAGTTTTACAACAAAGGTTGTTTCGAACCAGGACCAAGAAGTGGTAGTTATTAAAATATGTGAAAAGTTATGAAGTAATCGAAATTTTAATGATGTTTTTAACTATTCTTGATAGGTCATAGGATGTGTTGTGATGAAAGCAATCTTTTTGTTTATGGAGGTTACAACTTTGAAAGTGCAAGTGATTCTCATAATTTATATAAGGAAATTCTTAGTTACAATTTCGTGTCCCGAAAATGGCGAAAAGTTAACACAAATAGTAATCTTGATGACAAATGTCCAGATGAATTGGCTTCTAGTTCTATGATTATGTTTGGAAATACTTTAGTTGTGTTTGGTGGTACTTCATATCCTTTTGGAATGCAATGTTCCAACAAAGTAACGTTAATTTCTATCAATTATGGTGGAACATATCGAATAGAGGAACTTCAGACACTTAATGAAGAACGAGAGCAACCACCTGGTCAATATGGGATGTCAATTGCTTTTAAGGATAACTTTCTATATACTGTTGGAGGAACACAAGGATTCGATTACACGGCTGATATTTACAGGCAATTTTAATTTTTTTTTTATTAGGTTTAATATTAATTTTATTTTATTGCCATCAGACTTGACTTTGCTTCACAATGTTGGAAATTGTTGGCTCTTAGTCGTCCTGAAATTGATGCAGATCATCCTATCGGTCGATATCGTCACGAAATTGCGATTGACGAACGTTTCATTTATATTTTTGGTGGAGGTACTGCAGATGTTGTGTTCGATTTAAAGACAATTCCCGTATACGATCTCAAATACAACAAATGGGACAAAATTTCAACGTTTCCAGACCCTGACCAAGGCTATCCAAATCCACGCAAATGTCATTCATTAGTGCAACACACTATTAAAGATTGTGATAAAACTAAAGAGGAAACTTTTATTTTTATTGCTGGGGGAAATTGTCATGAAGGACCATTAAACGACATTTGGAAAATGTCTCTTAGTTCAAGACAGTGGATCTGCTTTCGACAAACAAGTCTAAGAACTTCACTTTTCTTTCATGACGCTTGCATAACTCCTGATGGTGCCATGTACATCTTTGGAGGAATTACCACAAATTTATCAAGATCCAACAATCTTTATAAAATTTGGGTGAAAATTCCAAAGTTATCAGTTATTTGTTGGGAAGCTTATCTTCATTATTTTCCTAGAATTTACCGTGAATCTAGAGAATTTATGCTAAAATCGGGAATTCCAATTTATTTCACAAATCGCGTACATAACCAGTGTGAATGACAAAATATTTTTTTAATTAAATAAAAAATATGTCTTGATATGATTACTTTACATGTTTTAATTAAGTTTCTGAGAGTTTTTCATCAATTTTAAATATGATAATTTTCCATCAATTTCCCGTTAAGTAACGCTTCCAATAAATTGTCTTGCGCTATGAATAAATTGGGTTGTGTTGTTATCAGATTGAAACTTCACAATGTTGAAATCTTTTAAAGAAATATAAATCTTAAGAGTAAATATAATTAAAAGGAACTGATTACGCCAATAAAAACTATAAACCCAACTCGCTCACTTTTATCTTGTTTGGCTCAACATTATTTTTGCTTTAAGCTTCATTGCTTGGCTCAATGTCTCATATAATTGTCATGCTAGTAGCATGACTCACTTGCATATTTGGGATTTTTCAACTTACTTGTATGCTTCATTGTAGATAATTTTAGCAATGTTTCGTATTTCTTGATTGTCTTTATCGTCTTATTTAATGAAGGAAAATCTACACAGTCTCGAACTCAGATGGTATCATTGCTTTAGCCAACAAGATCAAATTTGACAATTCCTTCACATGAACATTTTTTTTCGTATAAATATTAATTCATTCCATATTAATTAATATTTTTTCTGATACAAAGAAATTTCTTACTGCCTCAGTGAATTATAAGCATGCATACTTCACTCAAATTTTCGTGTTCATCCATCAACTGTAGTGAATTTTATTTATATTTTTTCTGAAAAAATTGAAACTCAGTTATGTTGGGTAAAAATCAAGTTTAAGAAGAATTTTTCTTTAAATTCGCTCCACAAAATACTTTGCTGTTCTTTAAGTTCTTCAAGTTTTAAGAAAATATTTAAATCATAATGAAAACCGTGAAATTACTGAATACGTACAGAATTCAGGTATTTACCACTAAGTCAATGAATGTTTCACTACGTATCTGATCTTTCGCAGCAGAAATCAAGCCCCTAGCCTAGGAACTCCAACAGTGATACATAAACATAGAATATTGGAAAATAAGTTTTTTATTCAAGTGAATATGAAATATTTTATGGACTGCAAAAAAATGAAACAATATTAAACAAATTTCTTATCATTACATTTGTTTCTTTATTTCCTTAGGAGCATTTTCAACGCTATTCATAATAAGATAAGTGACGATGATATTATTTTGTATTCATATAAGTTTGACGTTGACTTGAGCTTATGTCCATGTTTAAGTTTCTTGTTCAATTAATTTTCTGTTATCATCAAGCTGAGAACCGAACCTGGGGAAAATCTTCAATTTTATAAATATTACATAAGTTGAGAAGAACCCATAGCAAACCAGGATGAAGAGAATGAAATATATAAAAACAAACTTTCCAGAGAATTCTTCACGGAATAGATTGAACTCATTTGAGACTAGCTTTTGCTGTTCTGTCTCTTGAGTTTTAGTCAGCGAACTTTCAAGCTGATTCTCGACTTCTTCAATTAGTTCCATTCGAATTGACGAAGTTATGTTGTGTAAGTCATTTTCATATAATTGCTTGAACTTTTCTTTATCATTTTTAAAGAAATCCAACAAATTAGTTTTAAATTCTTCCAAAGCAGTCGAATTTTTCATGTTTCCTTCAAGTATTGCCAAATCATTTGAAGTTTTCTCCATTATTTCGGAAACTTGATCTTCAAGATTTTCAATTTTTTTTGAAACACTACGAATCATGTCGTTTGTTGACTTCATCAAGGCAAAATTATTATAACAGTCTTTAAATTTATACTGATGACTTGACCATTGAATGAAACGAGTTAGTTGAATATTTTCACTGATACATAAATTTGAACTTAAATCAATTCTTGTTAACTTTGTCATGTTCTTGTAAAATCCTTTCTCTATTTGAGTGATAATATTATTTTGCAATTGTAATGATTCAATGTTGCTGTTTCTAGAGAATAATTGACCGCTTATAGCTTTCAGTTGATTATTATACAAAAGCACAAGCTTAAGGTTTACATTATTTGCAAAAATATCGTCATCAAGGGTTTCAAGGTAGTTATACACCATTTCGATCTTTTCCAGGTTCACAAGATCTCTGAAAGCTGATCTATGAATTTTCTTCACGTTGTTATAGTTCAAGCTGAGAATTTTCAAATTTTCTAATTCCACAAAACTTTTCTCTCCAATTACTTCCAAATCTGTGTTTTTCATTAAAATAAGAGTAATCTTTTTATCAAAATAATTTTGTTCGAGATTCTTAAATCCACGACTTGATATTATCATAATTTTCTCCATATTGACAAATTTTTCAAAAACGCCTTTTGGTAAGTTTTCAAATTGTGAATCACGAATCTGTACCCACATGACATCTTTTTCAGTTTTATTTGTGTCATCCCTTGCCATTATATTTATCTCAAAATCATTTTGTGACGGAGTGACATTTCTCAATTCACATCCGAATCCATGATTTTTATCGTTAAAAAGTGTACATTTGTGACTAGCATAGCTGATTCCAGCGAACAATATAAAAATCGCGAACTGATAAAATATTCTCATTATTCAAGTTATGAAGTGATATTATTTTTTTAGTATTTAATATTATGACTTGATACCAAATTATATTAAACTGAACTGTAATGATGCTTGAGTGGAGAATATATGCCTTTTCGTTATCAAAGAACATTTAGGGGTCGAGAATGTATTAAGTAACAATGAAATTAATGCAGGGCCCTTTCCCAGTTATTCTTTTTATTTCAGATTGCAGAAAAGAAACAGTCTGGAAACATCAAACTATTCCGAATTAAAAAAAATGAAAACCAATTTATTCATGAGAATTACGCAATATTACGCAAAAGGTTTAGATTTTAAAAAGGTTATTAAAAAAATCAGTTCCAACAATTTTCGCATCGTCGATCTATTCTTTAAATTCCGCATAAACAGAAGCGAGTTTAGCAAGAATTTACCAGAAGTTTTAAATGAATTTTCAGGATATGTTGCATGAATTTTCGAGAAGCTTTTCATGAAGCTTTTTTAGATTCTATAATATCTAACTCTACATTTAAACTTTTCACGAATTAACAATCAGGAGTCAAAAATTTCGTTATGGACCATCTATGAAAAAATTAATTCAACAGATTCTTCGCTTTTCACCATACGCAATGAATCATAAAATAAATGCATGACAAGCTTTCTTTTAATGCATTTCATTTTATTTTACTCTACGTTTCAATGAATTGAATTTATCAAAAGTTTTGATATGAGAAAAAATATGCGGAAAAAATCGTGAACATAAATGTTGTACCCGTACAGCTTATGTCATATCTAGATTCGTTTTAATTGTATGATTGCAATTCAACCACCGATTTAATTCTTTAAAATTTTAAGTTTTTTGAATGAAACTTAAAATTAAGAACATTTTCCTCCCTTAAAATATTTGTTATAGAGAAAATCAACACATTTAAATGTTTCCACTTACTTGAAAATGTATTGAATTGTCAAATGGTGTTGCAATGCATTGGACAGCAATGCATAATGTTGCTATAAGTATCCATTGCCAGAATAGAGCCTTCATTTTGTCTAAGAAAAGAGAATAAATCATCATTTTTTATTTGTTATAACATCAGACTGTCGTCACTAAAGCGGGGATGAATTTTATTTTAAAAATTTCATTAATTACAAGTGATCATAGTACGAACACGAAACACATTATAATTTTAAATTAACGATTGTATAACAAAGTAAGTTGTTAGTACAAGGTGTAAGATTGTTTTCGTGTTAATATTCGCATATTTAGTAAATTATTGAATTTTCTTTAGCTTAGATGAAGATTTGTGTAAACTCTTGTAACATATAAATACATTTTCTTGCATTATTTTTACACTTCTATTATTCATGAAAAATTGGAATTGGAAAGAATGTTCTCGCCTTCATTCCTGTTTATCGGGAAAAATCGTTTTCTTTCTTCAAATATTTTTCTTCTAAATTTAAATATCTCGATCGATGTATAGAGAATTATAAATTGTCTTAATTAAAAAAACTTTTTTAAAGCAAGAAAGAACATTTTGCTTTAAAATTATCCTTTAATCTATTTTTTTCCTAGAAGATTTAAAATCGATTTAACATTCTTCGATAATTTTTATTCTACATGCTTCAAAATTTTAGGTGACTTACTTCTAATTTAATTATCTCCGCTATTTTAATTTAGCTTAAAACTTTATAATGGATTACTTTGGACTATACTCTACTTCTCTAAAAAGTTTTAAGCTATAACTAATAAAAAATAGCTAAGAGAATTAAGTATGAATCTGGAGGTTCTCTATAGCTACGATTTGGAGGTGATTCCCTATTGGCTTCTACCCTTTACTTACATAAAGAATTTCAATGAATTTTTTGAAGGTAAAGACGAATATTTGTTATTTTTTTTATCTGCTAAAAGGAAACAGGAAGACGACTGAGAAAACGGGTAAATTTCTTTAGAGAAATTGGAACACGTTCCTCAAATGATGAAATGTGGGAGCAAAATGGGACGTCTTTCGTAAAGAAAATATGACATGTTCCAGCCGCATTTAGGAAGAGAAGCAATTTCTTCCTCCTTATTTGATGATGATGACTTTATTGTAACATTATTTATTTCAAATAAATTATTCAAATGCCGACTAGATGAAGCAAATCGGTAATCGGTTACCGACTATTCTTATATCTCTACTCTGCAATTCTGATTTATGTAAGCATTTTCACTACATTAAGCACCAATAACTTAATCAGAAAACATATTCAAATGAATGATTAATGAGTGACATGCGATTTGCAATGAATCGTTTAAAAAAAATATACAAATGGAAAATGGTTCAAAATCTGTTACACTTAGAATCGTTGCCTTTCTGCCAAGACACTAAATTTCGACACTTTACTTCTGTTAAGCTATGAAAAGGAAAAATAGCGGAGAATACCGTGTTCGAAATTTGATGGTGCGGGGTTTGGCCGCGATTTAAAGTGGTGCGGATTACGGCCATTTAAAATAGGTTTACTGTTAATAATGCACTTTTCTTAAGTACTGTTTTCTATTCCGAATCCCCAAGTCACATGTTGATTGACATTCCACATGCTCTAGCAACGTGATAACATTCATCTTTCATGTCATCTTTTTTCCATTTCAAAAATTACTGTTATTAAATAGAAACGAGTGTGGTTTGTTTTCACTTTTATTGCATATAACAAAGAATAAAAATGTTTACTTTGTAATGCCTGTCATAGCTTAAGCTTACAGTTGGTATTCTTTGCTTTTGTCGAATGTGATTTTGAAATCACATAAATTATATATATAAATATAATAAA